AGGTAGGGGTTTCCTTCCAGTGTGGAGAATGTACTGTCCCAAGCTTCAGGGGTTTTGTGTAGCTGTTTTCAGGGATACTTGCAGGGACCTGTAAATTTTCAGTTCTTCCAAGGTGGTACGATCAAAGGCGAGGTGTTTACTCCTTTCCTGGCCTGTGCTGTGGTCTGTGAGTGACCACAAGCACTCTTTTCTGCCCTGGAACTGTGAGGGGATTCTCTCTCAATCCCCCTACTACAAGCTCCACCAGGCCAGTGCTCCTCCACACCCCAGGAATGCCACCCAGGAGTGCAACTCAGATCCAACCATGGGCCAAGCAAGAGAAACCTGCCTTAGCACCAGCAAAGAGATCCCTGCAATCCCGCTCTGATCAGCCGCTTGATCCCCCACTGTCTGCGGGCCGAGAACTCCAGAAGCAGGCACCACCCTGGGGCTATGCCATTTCTGGGGCTGGGACCAAGCTCCTCTCTTACCAAGGTCTGACAGACTTTTCCTTCTGACCTTCCAAGTTGTCTTGGGTGATTGTGGATTGAGAAGTCTGGAAACGCCACAGCTTCCCTTGATTCAATACCCTGAGGCCTGCTGCAGGTTCACTGAGGCCTGGTCTTTGCCTGCGTGGCCCTTGATGAACTACACTCCTCTCCTAGCCGGACACAATATACCTTTCCAATCAACCATCCAGGTTGTCTTGGGCTGGAAGGCTTCACTCTGCCTTTTTATGGGTTATGCTGCTTTAGAATTTGTTTAGAGCCATTTTTTACTGGTATTTGGGGGGCTTTTGGGGGAGAGCTCAAGCAGGTTGCTGCTTTTACTCCATATGGGCTCTGCCCATATGATACAATTTGTAAATTATGCTCTGTAAATTGTCTTTGGTATGGTTTGTATGTGACTTCAGGTATCCCTTTGCAATTGGATTTCCTACTAAAACTTCCTATACTGACCAGAATAAGATAAAATTTTAACACAATTCTAATCCCTTCTCAAACCTCCTACTCTCTCAGCTGAGAAACATGGCTCATATTTTATGGAAAAAAAAAGTAAGGCCATTCTCTGTGACCTCCGTCTTCTCCTTTCTTCCTTATCTCCTATCACTCAGATTCCTTCTGCCATTGTCTCCTCCTTCATCTATCTTACATGATGAGGTGGCCTTACTCCTCTCTAAGGCTAACCCTACTTCTTGCACAAGTGATCTTATTCCATCCCATCTTTTCCAACAGGCTGCTCCCTTGCTCTGTAACCCCCATTTTTTCACTTATATTCAATCTCTCCCTTTCTACTGGCCCATTTCCTACTGCCCACAAACATGCCTGTGTTTCCCGTGTCCTGAAATAACCCTTACCTCTGTCCTTCCATCCCTGCTAATTATCATCATATATCTCTTCTGTCTTCTATAGCTAAACTTGAAGAGGCTGTCTATAGTGGTGCCCCACTTTCTCACCTTTCAGTCTCTCTTAACCCCTTACAGTCTGACTTCTGACCTTGTTATCCCACCAAAACCGCTCTCTCCAGAGTTCCTGATGGTTTCTTAGTTGCCAAATCCAACGGCCTTTTCTCTGTCCTCATGCTCCTGTATTTCTCTGCAGCCTTTCACATTGTTGATCACTCATTTCTAGGTTTTTGGGTACCACTGTCCCCTGGTTTTCCTCTTACCTGTCTGACTGGTCCTTCTCTTGCTGTCCTCTCCTTTCATGAACACTCCTCCAGATCATGCCTTCTAACTGTATGTGTCCCTCAAGGCCCTGTCCTGGGTCCTTTTCTCTCCTCCCTCTAGTGCTTCTTAAACTGTGGGTTGTGACCCCATATGGGGTCACAAAAAATTTGACAACAGTAAAAAGTTTCTGAACATGCAATGACCAAAAATTAATTCAAAGTCAAACATGTAATGAAATGCATCTGAGGTGTTTCTGGCAACTCTTGCCCATGTTGCACTGTGCAGCTTCATTGCAGCCTTTGCTCTGCACACGCTCTGAGGCCATGCAATGCCAATTAACCACTGTAGAGACTAGAAGTGGAATTGTTGAGTGGAAAAAAGTTGAAGCAGCCCTGTTCTACACTACTTCATTTGGTGATCTAATCAGCTGCTATGCATTTAACTATCATTTCTATGCTGATGATTCTCCAGTCTGCCTTTCCTGCTCCATTCTCTCTGCCAACCTGTAGTCTTGCATCTCCAGTTACCTTTCAGACATCTTGAACTGGATATTCACTAGGCATATTCAACATGTCCAAAACAGAACTCATTTTCTTTCCCCCTAAACTCGCTTCCGTTCTTCACTTCCCTGTTACCTTAGAGGGCAACACTATCCTCCTGGTCCCTCAGACTTGCAACCTAGGAGTCATCCTGAATTCTTCAGGATCTCTCATCCCTGTATCGAAGTCATTGCCAGGCTTGCCAATTTTACCTTTGTGGTTTGTCCTGAATATGTCCCCTTCTCTCCTCTGACACTGCCCCTGACCTGGTGGGGGTGGGGTCTGCCTTCCTCAGTCTGTCCCCACTCTAGTCCGTCCTCCACTCCACCACTAAAGTGATTTTCCTAAAACGCAGGTCCAGTGATGTTATCCCCTAACTCAAACCCCAGTGGCTGGCTGTTACTTCCAGGATCAAATACAGAATGCTGTGTTTGGCATTCAGAGTCCTTCATAATCTGCCCCCTGCTGTCTCCCCTCCACCTACTCTTCCATCCATTGGCACTGACTTACTCCGTCTTTTGGCTCTGGGCATTCTCTCTGGCTTTCCCTCCTTTTCTTTGACAGTTGACCTCCTTGGCTTCCTTTAAGTCCCAACTAAAATCCCACCTTCTACAGGAAGCCTTCCCTAAATCCCTCTTAATTCTAGTACTTGCCATACTCTTCTCCTTTTCTTATTTATCTTATATTTAGCTTGTTTTGTATATATTTGCTTACGTGTCTTCCCAGTTAGATTGTGCGCTCTTTGAGGGGAAGAACTGTCTTTTACCTCTTTTTTGTATCTTAGGTGCCTGGTATATAGTAGGCACTTAATGATTGTTTTGTTATTGATTGATTGATTTTAGTAAGGATGTTGAGCCAAGTTGAAGGCTATGTGAGATATTAAGATAGAAATGACAATATTTGGCAATATATTGATTGGGTATATGAGTGAATGAGGATTCCATGAAGGGAAACTCGTTTATTTAAAACTTCAGACCATAAGATGGGAGGGCAAGGACTTAGGAGTTACAGCTTTGGGGCGGATGAGAGATGTGGGAGTGTTAGCATCAGGAGGGAGTTTGCAGAAATTCAGAATCATAATGACTGGGAAAAAAATGAAGGTGGGAATTTGTTAGCCAAAGGTTAGAGAAGGACCATTTGTCCACAGTTTGCATCCTCAAAGGGTAATAGCAGAAGGCACGGTCAGTTTATTCTCTCTCAAATAAACAAGAAAAAGAAGAGACTGAGCCTGAGTTTCTGGACCAGTAAATAACTGGTGACTAACCAAACTCATATTTAGTCTCAATTGCTTTGTGTTATCTCAAGATGGTAGGAGATGGTGCAGAGGCAGATGATAATGCTGTGTTTGGAGTGTGTGCTTGCTTTTTGATAGGGCAGGTTTCTGAGTCCTTAATCCTAGGTAAGAGTCTGTTGGCAAGATGCCTGGTGTCATTTGTAGTTCAGTAATAATAATTTTAATAATAACAATAATATATAATATCTAGATATCTTAGATTGCATAACCCATAATAATGTTATCAAATATACTAATTTATATGGCACTTTAAGCTTTTCAAAGCACTCTACGCTGGTTTTCCAAGACTAAGTGGAGGGAGAATTGGTGCATAATTTTTTTGTTTGCAGATGATTGTGCACTGAATGTAGCCCGAGGCTGAGATGCAACAATATGTGAATTGATTCACTGCTGCTTGTGCTAATTTTAGCCTGATAATTAATGAGAAAACACAGGTATTTCACCCGCCATCACCACACTGTCCATATGTAAAACCATCAATTAAAACAAATGGAAAAGTTTTGAATACTGTGGATAAGGTCACTTACTTTGGCAATATACTTTCCAGGGACGTCCACATGGATGATGAGGTTGACACATGCATTGCCAGAGCTGGCTCAGTGTTTGGGAGGCTCCGAAGGAAAGTGTGGGAAAGAAGAGGTATTGGACTGCCTGCCAAACTGAGGGTCTTCAGAGCTGTTGTGCTGACCTCATTGTTGGACCATTTGACCACAGGTTGCATCCTCAAAGGGTAATGGCAGAAGGCACGGTCAGTTTATTCTCTCTCAAATAAACGAGAAAAAGAAGAGACTGAGCCTGAGTTTCTGGACCAGTAAATAACTGGTGACTAACCAAACTCGTATTTAGTTTCAATTGCTTTGTGTTATCTCAAGATGGTAGGGGATGGTGCAGAGGCAGATGACATTGTTGCGTCTCAGCCTCAGGCTGCATTCAGTGCACAATCATCTGCAAACAAAAAAATGATGCGCCAATTCTCCTTCCATTTAGTCTTGGCGTTAGAAAACCTGTGTAGAGTGCTTTGAAAAGCTTAAAGTGCTATATAAATTAGTATATTTGATAACATTATTAAGTGTTATGCAGTCTAAGATATTATTTTTTTTTTGCTGGTTTCTTCCTTTACAGGCATAGAATCATATAGAGAGCTAAAAAGCATATTTGGAGATGTCCAGAGAACATCTAGGCTAGCCTTCCTCATTTTATATATGAGTAGCAGTAAATCAGTATTTATCAGGAAGGGGAAATGACAGCTCATTGTCACACAATAACCAGTCTCTGTGCTGAGGATTTAAAGTTAGCTCCTGTGGCTTCAAATCCATTGTGTTTTTTATTCCACGATACAATACAGCCTGTTTACCCTTAATCCTTTTTTTAAAAAAAATTAGTATAGAAATAACTTTGAAAGAATTTTTTATTGATACTATGTATTAAGCTATGATTTTCACTTTTATAAACATTAATATTAATGGGAATATATTAATGTAACCATATTTTTTTTTCTTCTCATTGTGGGGAAAAATAGTCCCTCAGGCAGTCTGGCGAATAAATGTGGATCTCCCGGAGGAAGCGAGCCAGAATTATTCCTTTAATTCTTCTGAACGATGGTGGGAGCAGACAGATTTGACTAAACTAATCATATCCAACAATAAACTTCAGTCACTTTCAGATGACCTCAGGCTTCTTCCTGCACTGACTATACTTGATGTAAGTTGATTGACTATACTTAATTGAAATATAATCTGAAACTGTAAAGAGAAAATGCAGCTCCACTTAGATCCTGACAGGGAAGTAGGAAAGCAAAAGGTTTCCATTTCCTGTCAGCAGAATGCAAGGAGCCAGGTTAAGTTAAAGTTCTGTATTTTAAACAGGCTGGAACCTCCCAGCTTGTTGTGACTTCATGTGTACGGCTACTCCCTTAGCAGTGCAAAATGCAGCTCTGCCCCATCTTCTACTTGGTCACATTTGTCCTTGTTCCTCCTCTTTAGAGTATCCACTCATCATGATAGAGACTTCCTTTTAGAGAGTCTAATTATATAGTAACCTCAGAGGTCATGGTTTTTATTACTGTGTGTTATATTCTGGATTTATTTCGTACAGTATAGTATTTTAGGCATCTAAATATGATCCATTTGACATAGAGAACTGCTCACTTTTGCAATGTGACAGAAGAATATTTTTGCTTTTACTCTGGTCTTCAGTTAAAATATTGGACCTTAAAGTTAACTGAATTGTACTGTTCTTTCTGAGACCAGGTTTTTAATTTTGAGATGCCGTATTTTCGAGCTCGTTGAATCTAAAAGAGTATCAACCCATTCTTTTCCTTGCATATTTGCACTGTAGCACTAAAAATTCTTCCAAGAAAATCTGGAACAAATGGGTAGGGATTTGCATGAGAGGCTCTATGGTAGTCTGTGGGTCCTGTGCTTAAACTGGAAGAGAACTTAGTTGAATGAAGTCTCCTCTGCTTTCCTGTCATTTTGCAGTTGATCAGCTTATTGCTTCTGCCGGGAAAGTAGACTTGTAGATTGCAAATCCGCTTGTCTGGTTTCCGCTTTGGTTTTGAAGCGCTCCCCTTCTGTCTGGAAGCTGCACTGAGGCTTGAAGCAGACCTCCTCCTGTCTGGCTGCGAGAGCAGAGGTTTGGTCAGCTTCAAGGAGCCGTCAGCCTCCACATGTGATTTCTGACTAACAGCCTCATTTATTGACACTAAATTGATAAGGGAATTGAGGGACTCAGGTTGAAAAGTTCGAGAAGAGGGAATGGTGGGGGACTTGGGCGGGGGGAATGGAAGAAGGAACAAATGTTGTTTGAGATTGAGTCTGTGGACTTGTTCTAGGTGCACGATAATCTGCTGACGTCCCTTCCTTGTGCCATAGGTGAGCTGGAAAATCTTCAGAAGCTTAATGTCAGGTAAAGCCAGAATGCTATTATTTTTCATTTTGATATTGTAGGGAAGCATTGGAAATCACTTTTTTATTAGTTTTCTGAGTAATAGAAAAAAAGAGAGAGAGAGTGGGTGGTATAGTGGAAACAAGGCTGGTGTTAACCTGAGGAAGACCTGAGGTTCAAGTCCCGTCCCAGTCACTTGCTTTGATCATGGGGAACCCTCTGTTTTCTGGTTAACTTCCCAAAACTTTAAGTTGCAGTTACATTGACCATCAGTATGGAGTTTGCATACCGCGTATTCCCTTCGTGTGTGAAATCATAGGTGCAGCCCGGGAAGAAAAAAATCCATCCATGCACATACAAGTATAGAGAGAGACAGAGACAGACAGAGGGAGCCTGATTTCAACGTCTGCTTCTGCCACTACTTAATGTCTCTGAGATTTGGGGCAATTCATAGAACTTTTTTTCATTTCAGATTACTCACCTGTAAGTTAAGGTGTTGAACTCGTTGCCCTCTGAAGCTATTTCCAGGTTTAAATCTTTGATCCTATGAAGTCACGTCATTCTGTTAATCATTTATTGATTAACAGCAAACTCACATTTATTAAGCGTTGCCTACTCTTTGTTAGGTGCTCTGAAGGCAGTAACGATAATAACTTAATGACATTTCTGTGCATGTATAACAATTTCAGTTTTGAAACCAAAGAATAATTTTTTCCCCATCATTCAACTCACCTGAATTCTTTCTTGGCTGATTATAAATTTAACCCTGTCATGAAGGTGCTTTTATTGTTGCTAACTTTTATTTAAATGCTGTTTTTTGTTTGGTTGGATATTAAATTCACGGACCATAATTTAGTCAGTCTACTCTGATCGGGCTTGATTTGATTTTGTTCATATATCTAAATTCCTTTTCAAGTCCTGTGAATTCTCGCCTTCACAATATCCTTTATATCTGTCCTTTCTGTTATGTTTCCTGCTATAATCTCCCTTCCAGCCCCCTTTCCTTTTTCCTCTATTCAGACCTTTAGTAACTCTTCGCTGGGCAATTCAGTCAAGAAACATCGGTTATGTGTCTATTTTGCTAGATATTAGAGGAGAGAGAGAATTTAGGTATGATTCCTGCCCTTGTGGAATATATAGTGTCCTAGGAGGACACAACGGTAACCCTTTATTAAGTGTTTACTATGTGATTGGTGCTGTACTAAATGCTTAGGACACTGAGAAAAGCAGAGTTCCTGCCCTCAGGGATTTCCCATTCTGATTGTAGAGACCCTGTCCATGCAAAATACACACACACGCACACACACACACACACACACACACACACACACACACACACACACACACACACACACACACACCACACACCCGGTCTCTGTAAATGGGAGGTAATCTCAGAAGGCACTAGCTGTGCAGGGAACTAGGAAAAGTTTCCTGTGGAAGGCAGAATCTGAGCTAAATCTTAAAGAAAGGCCATGGAAGCCAGGAGGCAGAGGGGATGGCCAAGCCTGAGGTACACTGTGGGGAGATAGGATGTTCTGAGTGAGAAGTAGCACACAGGCCAGTGTGCCTGAATGCTGGAGTACACAGAGAGGAGTAAAGAGGAAGAAGACAGGACAGGTAGGAGGGGGTGGGCCTGTGAAGGCCTGGAGCAGCAAACAGCATTTTCTCTTTGATCATCGAGGCAATAATGACTCTAGACTAGAGTCGATCCCAAAGGGTCTGTATGGCATGATCTGACCTGCACTTTAGAAAAACCACTTTGGTAGCTAGAGAAAGGAGAGATTTGAGGCAGGCAGACCCCAGCAGCTGTTGCAGTAGTTTAGGGTGTGAGTTCCCCCCATCAGGAGGGAGGCAGTGTCAGAGGAGAAGGAGATGTATTGGGGAGGTGTGAAAGTAGAAAACCCACTTTGGCAAGGAGCCAGCACATAGAAGTGGAGAGTGAAGACATGAAGGGGGCATGCCTTGGGAAGGAAAAGGGCCACCTCTTCATGTGAGACAGGGGCAGCTTGGGGGAAGTTTTCAGTGGACAATGAGGTAAGGTCCTCAGCTCAGGGGGTCAGGGAAGGGGTGACTCGAGGGAAGACGCTTTTGGAAGAGCTGCTGTGGGGTGTGGGACAGCAGATGAGGGAAAGATTGCCATGCCACATCGAGGGCCCAACTGTTGTGGTCTGATGGTCAGCCGTGCTTTGCAAATCTTCTCCAGGTCTGTTCTAGGAGAACAAGTCAGATAATTTTAATCTTATAGGATGGATGCCAAGCACCTTGGGAGATCCTGGGGAAGAAAGTGTTCTCATCCAGTGAGAGGGTAAGGGGTCCTTGAGTTGGCCTTTAAAAGGCAGGTGAACATCTAGCAGGTCAGGAGGGGCAGGGATGGTCAGCCCCCACCCATAGGTCACTGCCCGAGCAGAGGCTTTCCTAGGCGGACCTTGCATGGCGGGGAGCAGTGGGGATGAAGCAGGAAAAATAGGCGGGCTCCCAAATGTGAAAGGCCTTAAGCTTTGCTGTAAGGCATAGAGCAGCTGAGGATTTTTGAACAGAAGAGAGAGTTCTATCGCAAGTTCTCTGCTTCAGAAAAGTTATTCTGACACAAGTTTGAAGGCTAGATGGGGCTTCGAAAAGAATGGACACATGATGGCCCATGAGGAGACAGTTGCAATAATAATAGCAGCTATTTTTCTACATCTCTTTAAGATTTGCAAAGCACTTTACATGTCTGAGCTCATTTGGTCCTCACAACTGCCCTGGGAGGGAGGTGCTGTTATTCTTATTTTACAGATGGGGAAACTGAGGCTCAGAGAGGTTAGGGTTAGAAAGAGGGGATGAATGGGAGAGCCTCTGGCAGAGATGGCCAAGGCTGAAGGAAACCCAAGTTCAGGTTCTGACTGGTCTGGCTGCCTCTTGTCGTCTTCTCCTTTGTCCTTCACAGAAGAGCTCCTCACATAAGCAGCCCATCCCCCAAGTAGCTGGCACCCAGACTTGGAGGGGCTTTCCACTATTCACCAAATAAAACACAGACTGCCTAATTGAAGAGGCTCAGCCCTCCAAATTCTTATTCCCATTTAACTTTCCAAATGTATTGCACACTGTTTGCCTTCATGCCTCCTGCTTTTAGGAGATTAGACTCTTTGACCTTTTCTTTGATCTCTTGTCCTATTGCCTCCGTGCCTTTGTTAGAATAGTTCTTCCCTGGATTCCAAGCTCACTTCCTCCTTGAAGTCTGGCCTGAACTCGGATCCCTTAAATTGCTCTTTGCAATGCATTTTCTATGCATTTAATTGTGCTGTTATACCGATATTCTTCCGTTTATAGATTATAAACTCCTTAAGATCCATATTATTTGTGAATGGATCATGCAAAGTGAGCTGGAGCTTCTCCCCCCTAAACAGTCTCTTGGCTCTGGGTCTGCTGCAGGAGGCTGAGCTGGAATGATGGGAGGGTGAGGAGGCATAAAGAAACTGAGCATTTGCCAGAATTCTATAAACTGGACAGCTGTACATTTGAGATTTTTGCATTTAAAAAACAAACTCCTTACAAAGTATATTAAAAGATAGTTCACAAATTATTTTTGTGAAATAATTTCCTTTTCTCCTTTGGAATGTCTAAAAGGTCACTTATTACTGTCTTTTCATAAGTGCACAGTTTTGTGAAAGAAAGTAGAATCACATTTAAAATAATAACTAATAAAGTTTTAATGAGGCCATGTAGTTGGCTAACAGAAATGGCCACAAAACTTTACTGTGTTTTCTAATGTTTTTATTTTAATTGTTTAGCATTTCATTTTATCTATCAATAGTCACAACAAACTGAAAATACTGCCTGAAGAACTTACAAAACTAAGAAACCTGAAGGGCCTGTTTCTGCAGTACAATGAACTGACCAGTGTCCCCGACAGATTCGGCCAGTTGCACAGATTGGAGGAGTTAGTAAGTCTGGCTTTTCTAACCCTGATGTGCTTTTTACTTGAAAAACTTTGATCAGCCCTTAGGGTCCTGCAGAGTAGTCCTCTGTGATTCTTGTTTCAGACCAAAGCCCTCAACCTCCTCTGCCATCTTTCCCAGCCAGGGTGCAAAATGAGACATGGGAGGAAGGACTGGGAGACAAGAAAACCTGCAGACTCATGCAGTCTGATTGAGTTTTACTGTTGGCCTCTGAAGGTAGTGCCAGAGGCACAAAGAGAGCTTGAGACCTTATTGGGAGAGCAAAGGCCAGATCTGGCTTCCGATCCTGCCTGCTGACTTTCCATCTGTTGAATGAAGGGGGTGGACTCTGTGGCCTTCTAGCCCCAAAAGGTCACTTCTGACTCCAGATCCATGATCCGAGGTTTATAGGTGTCCTTAGCATTTATACTGAGGTGTACTTTTGGAATTCATGCCACTAGAGGGACTGTCACCAAGTAGTCCCATAGTTTCCAAAGGAACAGTGTTTAATTATTGGCGAATCTTACTAAGGACTCAGCATTGGGAGAAAAAAAAATCAGAAATGACCAACAATATGTAAGCAAATAAAAAGATAGACAAATTATAAAACACTATACTAACTTGAAATAAGTAACAAATATGCTCTGATCCTGTTAATTGGCTGATCAGTGGCCACTTTGTGGTGGTATATCTTTATATTGATGTAAGAATGACAACTCCATCTCACTAGAAGTTTGAGCTAAGTGAGGCATTAGGTAAAATCTCAGACCTTGAGTTAGCTACCATTGTGTTTACTGCCTGAGAACAGAATTCACTATTATGTTGAAATTATTGAGGAATGGTAGGAAAAACTCTCCACAAAGGTTTTTATTAATGATTGCTAAGACAATTATTATTTTATTGATTTTATTTTAATAATGATTGCTAAGGACTATTCCACAAACCTTCAGTCTTAAAGTTGAGCACCAGGTGTTTTGATATGTGCTCATGGAATAGTTTTAGCACATTAATTGTGACATTTCTCTTGCTGCAAACCCTTTTTTAAAGCCATCTTTTAAGGGGCAGCTAGGTGGCGTGGTAGATAAAGCACCGGCCCTGAAGTCAGGAGGACCTGAGTTCAAATCTGGCCTCAGACATATAATACTTACTAGCTGTGTGACTCTGGGCAAGTCACTTAACCCCATTGCCTCACAAAAAAAAAAGTCTTTTAAAACCAGACTTAGCCAGCATCTGTCACCAGCAACCTTTTCTACTTCCTCCAGGTGTAGATTTGAATTAGGAAACAAAGGAAAGCCTGTGAGGAAAGTCGTTCTCCTCCTTCAGTGTCACCAGACATTCAGTACTTAGTTATTAATGGAGGACTGAATTGAAAAGATCATAAAAATAATGACCAGCACGCGGGCACCGCCAAGACCGTAACCTAGCCATCGGGTCACCTGGAATGACACGGGCATTGAGGAGAAAGAACGTTTGAATTCATTAGGCAGCCTTGCCTCTGTGGGAGGTGAGAATTGGCCAGACTGGTAAAGAAATTGGTAAACTGGTAAAAATTGTTAAGTTTTACTTCACACTGTACATGGGCCATTCTTTCACCTTCCACTTTCAGTTGTGAAAGTCTAAAGCCAACCCCTTGGTCCATTCATGGAACTCTCCCAGTAAATCTGTGAAGGGTTCTTTTAGGGTACATCCAAATTTAAGAACTTCCAGTGCAGTAGAGGCATTTAACATTTCCAAAAAGGAATCTCTAGACTCTCAGGGCAAAGTGATATGGCAGGTCTTGATTTCAGTCCATTTTCTACTACATTGAAAGCTTTGATGATCCCAAAAGGCAAAATTAAGTGTTAACGTTGGATTTATATAAACACCTGGTAAAAATGCAGAATGATTTTTTAAAAAAATAATCCCAACTAAGAGCTGATAGTTGGAGAGATGGAAGCATAGAGAAGAAAGCCCTTCCCTAATGAAATCGTTCTTTCTCAGAATATTCTTTGCACTGCCCACAAGGATCTTAAAACTGCTTGTGCAAGGACCTTGGGAGGGGCCATTTATTAATTTTGTTTTTACTTTTTCAAAAGGATCTCTCCAACAACCGCCTCACAGCTGTGCCCGCGAGCTTTTCTTCTCTCTCTAACCTGATGCGACTCAACCTTGCCGGCAATCAAATGAAGGACTTGCCAGCAGAAATCACTAGGATGAAAAGTAAACTTACTCGGTGTTTAAATATTTAAAATTTAATGTAGTATTTCATGTATTTAAAATAAAATATTTTGTTATAGTTGGAGATGGACAAGTATAATAATGGGTTTGAAGGTGCTAAGTGTTGCTTACCCCAAGGCGTCAGTCTTGACCCAGGAGCCCTCTTTTCCTAGATAATAATGCACTTTGGTATTTTGCAGCTTGAGGTAGAAAATGTGAAACTGTCAAGAAGTCAGCTTTGCAAAACTAAAAAAAGCAAAATAAAATGAATGAAGTTATAATGGGCATCATCCAGCTGCAGAGCTGAGCAGCTGATTGGTTTTGTGATGTTTGATCTGACTTTGTGTCTTAACCCTCATGAGATGAGAGGTAGGGAACTGTAGCGCCACTGTGCAGCTTTCCCTGTAGGAGGCTCTAGGAAGAAGCAACTTTGGCTGGAATTCCTGCAAGGTGGTCTTCTGCTTGAGCCCAGATTTTTCACATTTAAAAATATTTGTACCTAAAGAGAGAAACAATATAATTTTTTACATTTAAAAAGGTACTCAATGTAGCTCTGTAAAACAGCTAAATACCCCACCAGGGTAAGCATTAAGATAGCCTTGTGGTGGCATTGTTATGGGCACCATGGGGTTGTTGAAAGCTCTGCCAGCAGAGTGTTTCAACCAGGGAAGGCTTTGAGCTCAGGCCCAGGGCATGCTGTGCTGTCATCAAGGACTAGCACTTTAAGTAAGGCCACTGGGGGATGAATTGTTTTAGCCACAGCAACTCACAGAGACAGTTTCCTAAGACAAAGAAGGGTTGCAACTCAGTCTGTTGGTGGAGAGAGTCCCTACATCAGCTAAATCACAGGTCCTTGAAGTAAGTATTTTTAAAACTATATTTTAGAGTCAGTTTTTAAAGACAAAAAGTATAATGTGATACCTTTCTCTCTAATCTTTATATTTTATAATTTTACCCAGAATTTTAAAATTGAAGTAAAAAGCCTTTCCATTGTGTGGTCCTTAACCTTACAGCTGGCTTGACCCCAAAATGTTAGTGGCTCGCTTATCTCTTGGTCACTAGCTCCTCTGAGTCAGCCACGGGCTAGGCTTACCTTGCCTACCTAGGCAATTTGAACTCGTCATTCAGGAAGGGATGCAGCAGAAGAGAAAAATAAAGTTAATTTATATTATTTTAACAGTTTACCTCTTCACCTCACCCCATTCCCATCAGCTTCAGTCACAGGTTTCTCTGCTAGTCTGCCTCTTCGTTTTCATATTTTTTTGAAAATTTGCTCTCCACATTATTACTTTTCCCATTTACTCTGTAGCTGGGAGCTTGTGTGAAATATGACGTGCAGGAATTTACTTGGGTACAACTTGGTTGTGAGCTAGATTTTAGAGACAGATTCTCAAAGCTCTTTTCTTGAAAGGCTGACAGTTTCAACTTTCTCCTCCACAAAAATCTTTGAATGCTAATGAATGTAAGAAAAGCCGGGTAATCAACCTTTAAGTAACAAGACATTCAGGGCAATCTAAAGCCTCAGGAGTAGGAATCATTTTCTGAGGGGTTTTTTTCCTGACTTTTAAAATAATAACAGTCTCAGTTGGTTAGAGCCTGGTAATGATGCTAAGGTTGTCGGTTCATTTCCCCACGGGCTGAGCTGTCATTATATGTAATGAGAAGATGCTGCCGCTCCCATAGAAATGTTACTTATGCTAATAGTTCTAAAAGCTGCACAAAGTTGGGGGGGGGGGCCTTTTCAGATTTCCTGAATAGGTCATCATGCTGCTACTGTCTCCTTTCTTTACTTAACCATTCTTGTTCAGTGGGGGAAAGCTGAAAGGCCTCCCCCCCCCCATTTACATGTGTTTATTTCCTTAAATGTATTTTAACTTAAGAAAATGATAAATAATAGTAAAAATACCTTATATATGTGTACTATTTTATACTTGGTATTTTCACGTACATTATTTCTGTGGAACACATGTTAACTCTAAAATTTTAGTAGATAATGTATTAAAACTGTTTTGACAGTCAACCTAAGTTTATATAAGTCCATTGTTTTTTGTTTTTTTTGGGGGGTGTGGTAATGTAATTCATTATAAGAATATATTTTGTTTAACTTTCACAAATCTTCATGCTGAATTTGTTATTCATTGTTAACAAAAGTATGTGAATTGGCAAGTTTTGATCTTTAAAAAAAAATAAATGTATTTCACCAAATAATTTCTATAGGATTAAAGCATTTGGATTGCACCTCAAACTGCTTGGAAACTATACCTTCTGAATTAGCTAGCATGGAGTCACTAGAACTGCTCTATTTACGGAGGAATAAACTGCATTTTCTCCCGGAATTTCCTTCTTGTATATTATTGAAGGTACCATCTGCTATTTAGTATAAAACATATTACTTTTAAAAATACTATTTAAGTAATAGAATATGTATTGCTATATAGTCACCTTTAAAAGGGAATTTTTCCAAGAGTTGTAGTAAAATTAGTGTCACAAATATTAGTGTTGATAAATACTTTTTAAGTAGAAGAAAATAGTTTTTAAAGTAATGATCTGTCTTGTTTCATCCGTTGATAAACAGGTCTGTTAAGAAATATTGGTAAAAAATTTTTTTTGGTGAAATTAACTAGTGTTAAAATCACTTCACAATTTGTAATATTTTGCTTTCTTATTATGAGGTTATAATAAAATAACTACATCCGATCATGGAAGCTCAGAGTTGGAAGGGCTTTCAGAAGTTTTGTCCAACCTAGACAACATTACAAAGTGGAAATCTTAAGTTTTCTTTCAAGCTGTTAATGATGAGGAACTCACTATTTCCCATGTGGGATCTAAAGTCTGCTTGTCTTTGGCTTCTAGCTCTGTGCTCTGAAACCAAGTAATAACAAATTTAATTTCATTAAATGGGTTGTAATTTCAATAATAACAGTGACAGGAATCACTGAGCAATATATATCATTTAAATGTTAATGAACTTAGTAGGACACTGACAATCTCAAATCCTAGTCACTAAAAAGCTTTTCTTGTTTTGATATCCTATGGCGAAATACTTCTTTCACTAAACACATTTTCTTATGGTCTTCACAGCTTAATTTACACTATGGGCTGTTGGTATCTTAAAGATGTCAGGAGAAAATGAGGAAGGTCCCAGGCATGTTGGGTGGGAACCACAGCAGCCAGTTTAGGGGAGATTATGCACAGGAGTCACCCAAAATGGACAGACAGGATTGGCTGATAAGCTCATCCCTCCCTCCTTAGAGGGAAGAGCCAAATTGAGTCCTCGTTTCTCTTTGAGTACCTACTGGAGGTGAGCATGGTGGTAGGCAGACACTTGAATTGCAGTTTAGGAGATCTGGACTCCTGCATTCAGAGTAACTAGTTAGTCAGCACTAGCTAAGCTGTGGGCACTGATTCTAGTCCAGGTTCTGCCACTAGATTTTTGGTTGTTTTTTTTTTTTTAATCTTGTGCAAAGCCTTAACCTTTGTTGGCCCAGGTCCCTTCTAACACTCCACATCTATGAATCTAGTTTATTGAATTAATTGCTGCTCTACCACCTCCCCTTTTATATATCTTGGCTAAATTTTGTTTTACTTTATTTCTCACAGTTTGAAATAATTCCCTATAGAAGTTTTGTAATAATTTTAAAATGATAGCAAAATCTCTGAAAAGTTTTCCTCTGGGGATTTTTGTTCAGCTGTGAAAAAAAGCTTGTTTTCATCTTACTGAAAACTCACGTAAATTAGCAATAGAAAATCTATGTTTCTTATCAGTAATTCGAATTTTATTCTGTGAATGATTTGAATTGGTTTGTCTCTAATTGATATTTCATCCTGTAGGTGATGAATAAATTACATTTACTAAGAATAATGGAATTATGAATAACTTTGATCTTTGCTTCTTGTAGGAATTACATGTTGGTGAGAACCAGATTGAAATGTTAGGGGCAGAGCATCTTAAACATCTTAAATCTATCCATGTGCTAGACCTAAGAGATAACAAGTTAAAATCTATTCCTGATGAAATCACCATGCTCCAGGCCTTGGAAAGACTTGATCTAACTAACAATGATATCAGTAGGTAAGCTGGAAAAAAATAAAAAACAAACTAACCCACAAATAATATGGAGATTAAGCATAGAAAATAATGTCTGTATTATAACCAAAATATTTCAAAGTCCACAAATAAAAATTTTTCTCAGTGATTTAAATTGTATAGGACATTATAGTTAAATATAAAATTATTTTGAAGCCTTTCAAATGACTTCTGATGCTGCTTCTTTTTTCTGTGTATTTGCATTTTAGGGGGATGTGAGAACTAGATTGTCTTTTAAAATGTATTATAATTAAGACCCATAGAAGAGAGTCATGTGGGCTAGAGGATAAAGAGCTGGGCTCCAACTCAAGAAAACCTGGGTCCAGGTTTGGCCTCTGATACCCCCTGGCACTGGGCCTCGTGGTAGGCCTTTCCTTTCCTTTCCTTGGGCCTCACCAGCTCGCCCCTGGTGTCCATGCTCCAGGAAAGGGAATGGCCCTGTGTTACAGACCATGTTTAGACTCACTCTAGGAATTACGTTTTTAATCTCTTTTGATTTATTCCATATTCCATAGCATGTGAAAAATGTGGAGGTCAAAAAAATGCTTACTAGCCGGGCCCCCTGCAGGAGTTTGTGCTTAGTGAGGGCCAAGTACCCCCCCCCCGAAAGATACGAAGTCCCCTTAATCCTTTGGTGTTCTAGTAGGCCTGCTCTCCAAACAGACTGTTCCGCTACACAGAAAGGTGCTGCCCTGCCCTCACAGAGGAGTGGGCTCCCCAGGGAGTTCCCTAGACTAAAGAAATGACAGGCTCTATGCCTAGCCCTGCATTAGGGGAGGAGAAAAAAATGGGCATTCGCCACTTGCTGTATGTAGTCTACTATCTCAGATATTCTACCCCAACTTGTAGAAATTGACAATTCGTACAATTGTGTATTAACTTGAAAAAAAGTGTTCTGTGTTACATGCTTGTTGTATGCATATGGCTTTGTCTAATAGCAGTGAAACTTGTTTTCCTGCCTCTTATATGAAACCCTCTTGAAAAACAGCTGGTCATTTGCTCTTAAAAATGGACTTTAGAGTTTTCTTGCCTCCTCCAAAGTTTCCTGTGTGTCATTTCTGTCTCCCTGACCCTCTTCCCTCTTTCCATAGACACATCCAAGTTATTTAATAAAAACAAAAATATACAGTAATAAAGAAAGCTAACCCCATTCTGCAGGATAATTGTTCATACTCAGGTGTTGGGGATCTTCTCCAGATCTTTGGTCAGCCAGCACACTGCAGCTGCTCAGTAAATATTTGGGTTAATTCTTGGAGTTTTTGAGAGGAATCCTTTTTGTTTAAATAAATGAATGCATCTGAGTAGGGGCTCGGAGAAATCTTTGTATTTAATTTGTATTATGTCTTCTACTACAATGCTTTTTTATTTAGAGGAACTATGGTGCCTTTTTTGGTATTCACAATATAAGCCTGAGATATGATCATTTAGGAGTGATGAATCATTCAAACCTGGCTTTTCAGACAAATATTTATTTTACTTTTACAATGCAATAAATATAAATAATAGTATTAAAATTTCCCAAAGCTCATTCTTTTTACCTCACTCAAGACTGTTAAGCAAATTTTTCCTATTTTAAAGTTAAACTTTCATTTGAGGAGGAAATATCATAGCCAGACTTACTTTGCCCTACTATGGGCATGTTAGCTCTAATAGACTATTCACTGTCTTGTGAGTTTTGTAGCCATCTGTCTAGGTGAATAATTCATTGTGTGTGTGTGTGTGTTTAGTTGAACCATATTTAGAGGGTTTTATCTTGTTTTTGATAGTCTTCCCCATGCCTTAGGAAACCTTCCTCGTTTGCAGTTTTTGGCATTAGAAGGAAACCCTTTGAGAACTATTCGACGAGAACTTTTAAATGTAAGTGTATTTTGAATTCAAGTTTGTATTTTATTTATTGCACAATCAGACATTCATGTAGATCTTATTTTAACCTGCAGTGCTCTCTTTCAGTGATGGTTTTGTTTTCTCCTCCATTTAGAAAGGGACCCAAGAAGTCCTCAAGTATCTAAGAAGCAAAATTAAAGGTATCATCTTATTTCCTTCTGTATTTTCACACAAGGAAAGTAGCAGCCAAAGCTTTAAGATTAAATTAACTTAATTATACTACTTGTTATCATATTAATTGAATTAAACCTCTGGAAAACCAGAATGTGGTCCTAAATCATTAGAGGAAGTATGAATTTATCTTAGACCAGGAGTCCTTAATCTGGAGTTGGTAAATTTTTTTTTTAAATACGTTCATAACTCCTTTTTAATATAGTCACTATCCTTTGTAATCTTAGGTATTTCATGTCATGCATTTAAAAACGTTCTGAGAACAGGTCCTTGGGCCTCACCAGCTTGCCCTTGGTGTCCATGCTCCAGGAAAGGGAATGGCCCTGTGTTACAGACCATGTTTAGACTCACTCTAGGAATTACGTTTTTAATCTCTTTTGATTTATTCCATATTCCATAGCATGTGAAAAATGTGGAGGTCAAAAAAATGCTTACTAGCCGGGCCCCCTGCAGGAGTTTGTGCTTAGTGAGGGCCAAGTACCCCCCCAAAAGATACGAAGTCCCCTTAATCCTTTGGTGTTCTAGCAAGGTGCAAAGGTGAAATAGTTTTTCTTTTCAAATCTTATATTTAAATGGGGCTCCTTCAGATAGTCATCTCTTTAAATTTTTAACTTGTACCTCTGTTTGAATTGACTAGTTGTTTTGCTATCATACAGATACTCCCCAAGTTAAGTTTGGGTTCAAAATTATTTTTTTCCAGACTGAGCCATTCAGGACATTATGGTGGGTAGCACACCTTAATTCAAACCCTTCTTAGTGCTCTGACTCTCATCTGTGTTGGTGGTGGTGGTGGTGGTGGTCAGTTGTTTCAGTGATATCCGATTCATCGTGACCCCATTTGGGGTTTTCTTGGCAAAGTTACTGGAGTAGTTTGCCATTTCCTTCTCTAGTTCATTTTACAGATGAGGAAATTGAGGCAAACAGGGTGAAGTGACTTGCCCAGGGTCACACAGCTACTCAGTGTCTGAGGCTGCATTTGAACTCACGTTCTCCTGACTGTAGGCCCTGCTCTTTAGGCACTGCACCACCCGGCCCTGTAAATAATGATAAAACAAGTCCCTCTCTACTGTGACACTGAGGAATGAAATAACTTGAAACCTGCTCTGAAAAGGACATGTCTGTTCTTTGTGCTTATGTACAAGCATAATTATTTCAAAAATATTTTTAGTAAAACCCTTGGATTTAGCCAAGTAACTTTGAAGCACTATTCTGTCCTGCCAAGTGCAGAGAAGGGATGAGATTGCACAGCGTCCGTGGGACAGCGCAGTCTGGAGGGGGAGCCCAGTCATGGGCCCCGAGCCTGGCTCTCCATGCGTGCATCTCTGGGGGCTCTTCTGCCTGCTCTCTGTGGGAGCGTCAATGCATCCTTTTCCTACTCTGGCTTCTCCTTCTCTGTGGCATCAGATGGGAAGAGGCTGGCTGAGGCCATTTCTAAGATCCCTTCCAGTTCTCAAATGCTATGACTTATCAAGTGAAGACTAGAATTGACTCATTATTTCATGTTAGGCAAGATCTGGCCAGTAGCGCAGAGCTGGGATCTTATCCCCAAACTGTCATCTGTTTAACTGAATCTAGAGTAATTTGAGATTTGAGCAGCATATTTATTAATAGCCATCTTGAGTTATCCTTTGTGTGGAGATGGAGGAAGAAAATGTGCCATTGCAGCAACTGTGATGTGTAACAGGGCTGGATTGGGCTGTCGCACCAACAAGTGCAAACTTCCTTTATTTTTTTGCCCTTTGGAAGTCAGGTTCATTTGCCAGGCTATTTGTAATGCAATAAGCAGCAAATTTGTTGCTTTTAGCAGGAATATTGCTCACCTTTTTGCTTTGAAGACATTTGGAATAACTGGAGAAAACCTTTTGAAAAAATAAAGAGTACATGATATTATGTCTAGTTCTGCATGCCAGCATTGTAACTTATGGTATTATGAATAAGTAGCCTTCTTTTTAGGTGGTGCATATTTTTAAATAGGTCATTTTGCACTTCACCACTCTTTAAAGCTGTAATCTTTTTCATATCACAACAGTTTGTAGTATTTTTATAAGGAGTCACATTTTTTCCTTCCCTTTTGGTACATTTTTTCCTACTCATTTTCTAGAAAGAAATACCTTTATATCATATTGAATATTTTCATTACAATTTTTTTTTTAGTTATAATCATGGGGATGAAATTTAGTTGTAAAAGTAATTGGTTGTTTTCCATTTTCTCCTACAAAGTACATTGGGAAAATAATTACATTGGACATTTATTCACAATGCTTCCTATACAAGTATTCCTTGTTCTTTGTTTGAATAACGAAAACAACAAAATACAAATGAATGTGATGTGCGGCCCCAGTCTGGTGGTGTGGTAGGTTGTGTGCCAGAATGAGAATCAGTCGGGAAGAGTTCGTATCTTGATGTTGCCACTTAACTCGTCTTAATGCCTTGGGAAAGACCCTTTGCTTCTCCAACTCCCAATTTCCCATCTCTAAAATGGGAATAATACTTGCTTTTTCATCTCTTGTTGTAAGGCTTCTGGGAAATAAGGAATGTGTGATTCTTCCTATTTTCACAGCCGAACTCTGAAAAAAATCTGCCCATTCTTGTGTGCCCACTTCTTCTCTCACTTTTCAATCCTTTGCAGTCTGACTTCCAGGCTTACCACTTAACTGAAACTGCTTTCTCCACAGTTAGCAGGTGTCTCTTCAATGCCAAATCCACTGGGTGTTTCTCAGGCCTCATCCTTCTTGACCTCCATGCAGCATTTGGTGCTGTTGGCCTGCCCTCTTCCCCGGACACTCTCTCTTCTATGGGTTTTTATAATTCTTTTTTTTTCTTGGTTCTCTCCCTACCTGTCAGTCCACTCTTTATTGGAGCAACATTTATATCATAACCCCAATCTCTGTCCTGGCTCTCCTTGTCTCCATTCTCTTTTTGTGGCTGATCAACTCCCTTGAATTTAATGAAGACTCCTACGTCTGCGTATTCAGGCTCTTCTAAGCTCTAGTCCTTTATAACAAATTTCCAGTTGGCCTACCATTTGTCTCAACATGTCCAAAACAATTCGTTCTCTTTCCCCCTAACTCCCCCCTCTTCTGAATTTCCATATTTCTGTTGAGGGCACTACCACCCTTCCAGGCAGCCAGGCTCATGATCTCATAGTCACTTTCAGCTCTCCATCCCACATAGCCAGTCACTTGTCAAGTTTTGTCAGTTCTACCTTCGCAGCATCACTTCATTTTGTAACCTCATCTGTATGCACTATTTCAAGCCCTCGTCACCTTTCGCCTATAGTATTGTTATAGCCTCTTAATTGGTATCTCTCCCTCCAGTTTAAGTGTCCCCAATCTATTTTCTGCAAAGCTCCTGTGTGATTTACCTAAAACACAGTTCTGATAACATTACTCCTCTACTCACTCACCTTCATTGTTCTCTTCTTATCCTCTAGAGTCAAATATAAACTCCTCTGTTTGACATGTAAAGCCCATCATAAAACGTGGTTCCCAACCTACATTTACACTGTATTATATATTAACTCCCCTTCATACACTCTGTAATTTAGCTGTAGAGGCTTTTTTCACATCTCAGCTATCTGTGGCCCTCTTCTGGTCAATATTTTCATCAGTCACTTCAGTGAAGACATTGATGACATGGTCACCAAATGTGTAAAGTGATATGAATCTGGTAGAAATAGCTAAACATTGGGTTACAGAGTCATGACCTAATAACATTTCAGCAGTCTGGAATGATGAATGGAAACTCCTAAAGTAGATTTTAGTAGAGACAGATGTTAAGTCCTGCTCCTGGATTCAACAAACCAGTTGCTCGCAGGTATAAGATCTGGGGAATGTGGTGAGACAGCAGTTGGATGTGGAGAAATCCTAAGGATTTGGTAAACTGCAAGCCCACTATGAGTAAATGACATCATGAGGCAGTCAAAAATGACTGTGCTCATAAATGCGAGTGTAATGTTCATGAGAAGTTGGGGAGTATTTCCCCTTCACTTTGCCCAGATTAGACCCTTCTGGGGAACAGCGTCCAGTTTTTCATGTCCCATTTTAGAGAAAACGTTGACAAACTGGAATACTTTGAGAAAAAGACAAGCAGGGTAGTTAAGAGCCTTGAAAACCATGCCATATGAAGGTATTGGATGTGTTGAGCAGAAAAAAATAATTAGGGGGCACATGATTGCAATTCTCAAATATTTGAAGAGTCATGTCGAAAAGGGTTTTATGTTTTCTGTGGCTTGAAAAGGCTTGAGTAGGACGAGTGGGTTGAAGTTACAAGGAGCTACATTAGCTCCACATTGTGCAGCACTTCTCCCTAATTAAACCTAACCAAGAGTGGAAGGAGTCTTAGCTTGGTGAATTTCCCAGTCCTGGAGATCTTCCAGCAGAGGTTGGCTGGTCATTTGTTAGGAATACTGAGGGACCCAAAGGTTTTCGGATGTAGATCTGAAAGGGACCTTAGAGATTATTGGGAGGATTGGGGGGATGGACTAGATTTACCTCTGAGGTCTTTTCAGGCTCTGGGAGTCCGTGATTCTAGTATTTTTAAGGGCAAAAGCAACAGATATTGTCCATATCTCACTCCTAGTTTCTTTCTACCTCATTTCTTTCTTTCCACATTGTCTTTCCTGTTTTATTAGTTTTTTTTCCCTTCTCTTTTTTTCCTCCATTCTGCTTTCTTGTCATTATGTTCTCACTCTTTTTATATGAATAGAAATATTTCAGCAATAATTATTTGAAACTTTAAGTTAAGTTCTGGGAATGCAAAGAAAGGCTTGAAGACAGTCCATGCCCTCAGGAGCTTCCAGTCTCATGGGGGAGACAACACATAAAATGAAAAGTGGGATGGGGAGGGAGGGAAGGGTACCAGAAACATCAAAGCATGATAAAGGCCTGCAGGCAGGGCCCCTGGAGTGGGGATGCTGAGAAATGTGAGTTTCAGAGTTGATCTTGCAAGATGGTGAGTTTCTAGAGTT